TCATCCAACTTCCCTACAGCTCTGCTCGCTGGTCCCAATCCCAATCCCAACATCTCAGGCGCAGTAGCTACCAAGTATACCTTTCCAAGATGTAATTCGAATTTCGAAACCTTTGTGCTCTTAACAGGCTCCAATGGCTTCTGTACAACAGCCTCAACGGCAACAAAACTCTCCAGCTTTAACCCTCCAATCCATTTGACCATTTGTTTACTGACTGGCTTGCCCTCCGCGCTGGCACTCACAACTCCCTGGACTGTCCAGTTACCCTCCTCTCTTAACTCCACAAACGCCATCTTCGCTCCTTGCATTCTTGCATTCTGAATCCATGCACGAACCTTGATTGTCTTGCCAATATGTTGTTCTCCAATCTCCCTCAGATGTACACTTTCGGCTTCGATCTTAGTGGTGTGTTTAATTTGTCCATAATTATCTTTCGCAAGATCCTCAGCAGCAGCAGATCCAGCAGCAGCTTGTTTAGCAGCTTGCTCGGCGGCTTTGCGTGCCTTTTCTGCTTCCTTCTTGGCTTTGGCTTCTGCTTTTTTGGCTCCTTTCTTAGAGGGTTGTGCGGGGTCTTCACCGGTAGGCGGGGCGCCTCCAGCTGCGATGGCGGGGTCAGTTGGAATTTCTTTACTTGGTTCCGCCATCTTTGCGATTGTGAAGAGATTAGCTGTAAGCTCGGGTGGTGTTGAATGATAAACTTCACGTTTATAAATAAAGTAAAAAAATAATGGAGGGGTACTTGTGTATAAAGTTGTGGTCATGTTATGAGTAATGCGGCAAGAATTTAAGCGCCAAGGTCATAGCTTTTTTTCGGACAGGGGTCACACAATCAGATGTCATCGTTGAGATTTTTGTGTGTATTCTTCTTTTGAACATAACATAGGTAATCTGGCTATCAAGACAATTCTATATAACCTTTCGTTCAATCCATAGGCAAAGTCGTCGTCGTAATAATACAACACATACCAACCTTCTTAACTGCTGCCATCTTGGCCCGACCTATTATGATGAATCCTCACCCCGTTATGAAGAGTCACTGGGTGAGCTCGCCGATGAATGAATCTTATTCATTTCCCCAGTTGGAGTCACGATGAGGCTTGATGACTTTGATGGGCTTTCTGGTACGTGCTGCGCTGAGAATTAATGTCTTGCACGAGTCGAGTGGTTCTTCAAAATCCCAAGTCTTGTTCAGAATTTATTACCTCTCCTGAACTGATCATCTTCAATGATTTGAGTAACATGTCTCTCGATTTCAATACTGCTTCTGGGTCAATTCTTCCTCGTGGGCTGATTGCTTCTCAGGAGTCTATCGCTCGTTCTAGGCCAAGTGTGTCTGCTAGGCCAACCACTTTCCCTGGTTATGCAACACACTGCTAATTCGATTATTTTTCTTCAACCGATCATTTCTCTTGAATGTACTGCCTGCACTGTATTAAGAACATCTTCTAAGTTGGGAACTCTTCCTGGACCAAGTGGTTCTCTTCTCAAGTCAAGGACTACTCTCAGATTAATTACTGCAATCTATATTCAGACGCCTTGAGCTCATGAGGAAAGTTCAGCAAACATTTTTCTGCCAAAAATATTCAATTGAATAAAGAAACGACAATTCATTCACAAAATTTGACTATAGTTCTCGAGCAATTCTATTTGGGAACGTTTTAGCTGACATGCATGATTTTGCGCGTTGAGATGTGCCCTCTTCTCCTGTATTTCTAGATCTCCGACATAACCGTCCCATTCACCATTAACTTTTCCCGAATCCTGATCCCAAAGAGAAAATCGAGCAAATTCCTAAAACAATTGGTACTTTTGACAAAATGAAAAACGCTATCTGAGTAATGTGCCAGAAGATTACAATTCACCGGTAGGAATTTTGAACGCCGTGCTCATTGGTGAGCAATTCCCCTCTTCACTGCTAGAGTCCTCAATCTGGGTATAATCTTGGAGATTGCTACAGATATAGATAGTACCTGTTTGATTTGAGAATCCGTTGAAACGCGTCGCTGTAGCTGAAGTATAAGCTGTAATTATAGTTAGTCAACCATCAGGAAGAGTGGTCCGGTCTGAGTTCTCACCTCCCATATTTCTGTACACCAAAAAATCGCCAACTTTAACTTCGCAGCCGAAAGTGGTGCTCCGACTCACACAATCTGTACTGTCACATGTTGGCCCCCAAATCTTGTAGGTATGATTCCCAGTCTTGCGTGCCATCGTCGTATTTAATTTGCCTTTGATTAACGTTGGCATGAACTCTTCCTTTTCAATGAGCCCATTCATAAAGTTTCCGTATACACCATCGTTTTGATATAACATTTCTAAAGTTTTGGAAGATTCTGTCGTCGTTGACACCCGGCGTGCTATGATTTTGCAAACAAGTATAAATGCGCTGCGCGCATAGAAACGTCCAGGCTCTGCAATGAAAGTTGTCTGCTCTGGAAATACTGCTTCAGATATGGCGCTAGATACAGCTGCGGCCATATCTCCAAATTCAGATTCTGTGGACTGAAATCCACCGCCAATATCGAGAATTCTTAAGGAAAATCCTAAAGATTCTGCAATATCCCAGACCAATCTTGAATCTTGAACGGCTTTTCGAATTACCGCGGGATCTGAAGCACCCGACCCTTGACATAAAGTTAACACTGTAACATATCACCATTATGGGAGGGCTCTCTACCAATATGAAAACTAGTTCCAACGACATCCATACCCAGTTTTTTCGCGCGTACAAGAAGTGCTTGAGACGATTCCAGTGGCGCACCGTATTTGTCACCTAGGGCAACAAGAGCACTATTGTCATTTGCAAAAATTCTAAGCATCAGTTGTGCGTTAGGCATGTATTTGTTTATGCTATCCAGCTCGTCGAGATTGTCGAAGGTCGTCTTTCTTATGCCGGCATTGTAGGCAAAAGCGAGTGCTTCGGGTGCCTTGCATGGATTTGCGAAGATAATGCTACCAGGATGAGCACCTAATGATAGGACAGTATTCATTTCCTCCACGGATGCACAGTCAAATCCAACGCCGAGCTGCATGAGTATCCTCAGCATTACGGTGTCAGTATTACATTTAACGGCTATTTTGCACATCAGTTCCAAAGAATACAAAAGTTGCTGAGCTCCACCTTACCATAGAATGGCCGGACGAAAGGCAGATGAGATGCCCAAAGATCATGTTGACGTCGAATCACTTCTATATCTGCAACGAAGAATGGATCATTATAGCCAAGTATATGTGGGAACTGTTCTATATGAGCAATATGTTGGTATATGGTGTTGTTCAACAATTGTTCTGCGGGTTTTGGTGATCCTCTCCAAGTGCTAGTAGTTGAATCCGACATGGTTGAAAGGATTCGGTTTGTTTTCCCAGAAGTTGGATTCTGAAGCACGCAGCATCTTCGTGAGTTGGGTTTTGTAAACTCTCATGACAATCAATTTTAAGGGAGAGACCCTTTACGTATTTGTGCCACACTAAACTTTAGACCTACTGGGTACACTAAATCTTAGATATTGGCTACACAAAATCTGAGATGTATGTTTCAGATCATACGGCTTGTACTGAAAAACACACATGTCTCACCGCGGGTCATTTTGCTAGTGACATAGTACCTTGAAATCTGCACCCCATACAATTCTGGAGTTCTTGGATATGACCATTACACATCCATAAAGATGAATTTTCATTTCAATTTCGACTATTTTTCCAGGAGCCAATAAAAAGAACTATTATGGCTAGTTGAAGAAAAGAAAGTGGCAATTATGGGCCATTTTCTCTGAGAGGACAGAGTGGCACGTCTTTCGATTTACTTTACAAATTCTGCCAATATTTCTGGCATACTAGCCACGGATTGTTCAAACCGTTCAGTTGTCTGAAATATATCCATATAATCTGAAGACATTAGAGGTATGGCGAATAAATCAGAAAAGCTGAGATATCAACGCCGAGCAGACACCGCCGGAGCGAAACAACTTTCTCTAGGGGCGTTCCCCTTGCAACAGCAACATTTCTTAAGACAATTAGAGCGAATTCTGGATCCGAGTATGCTAAATCCATACGCATTCCAGGTAAACGCTGTTGTTAAACTTCGATCAATTTCAGTTCAGGGGCTCCTTTTTTCAATAGCAGCAGCGGCCTTGAACTATATAAGTGATGCTTTTGCCAAATCGAATGTTGCATAACTTAAAAAAAATCAACAAATTTCAGGGAAGCATGACGAATATTTCGATGCTGCATAGTGTTTCAGCCTGTTGTTGAAGAACATACCCTTATGGGCATGACAATCACGCCAATTCATGGGGAAATGCTTGTTACTTGGAGAAGATCGATGGCCATCTGAAACAATTCCATTTTGTCAATGCCGATCAATGCTTGTTCTTAGGAGGACATGCTTCCGTGTGTGGCCCGTGTTACAAAGACTTATAATGCTTGGTCGACAGAGCAACTTTGCCAATCTAGTTGAAGATTTCTACGTCACATGGGCCAAAATCCCTAGACATTCAAATATTACACGAATTCTGGAATCAAAAATAATTCATCACAAATAAAAACAATATTCATCAATAAGTACAATAGGAGTACATGCACACAGAGTCATCAACGATGATTGTATCTTTATGCCATAATTTATGCAATTGTGAATTTAAAATGCTATCTACTGGTCTTTGTATAACCCGCCTTTCTCGAATTATTCACACAACCTTGTGTTTCCATGACCCAATGCTCTTGCATATCCAACCCTTCTTTTTCCAACTCAAATTTTTGCATAAAAGAAGACTAAGAAACATTCCTACACCGTTTCCCAACCACATTCATCCAATCTCAGCAGCAGGAATTCTCAGAGCACACTCGCCCTTTCCTGGAGAATGCTCTCCCTGATTCATCTTCTCGCCCCTTTCCATTCTTCCCATTGCCATCTCTGGCTACAATTTCTCCTCCAGATCCGATCCTGCCCTCCCAAAGCTATCAAAACTCGGTCCAATAGCTTCGATCAAGATACAAGCATCCTAAAATGAGCGAGTATCTAAATCCTCCAACTTGGTCACAACATCTCGAGGAGATAAAGATGAACGGCGAGATCTGCGTGAGCTTCTGACTACCTTTGAATGATTGATTTTCATTGCATTCATAACAGTAGAAGCAGTCGGTGAGGGATTGCAAATAGAGCTTCGTCTGCTGTTGCTACGAGATGTAGCTCCAGCTCCAGACCCAGCCTCGGATGCAACATGTGTTGATTTCAACAAAGTCTGATGGCGAGTCAGAGAGGGTCTTCGTTGGCGTTCAGGCAATGGAATATCGAGATCCATTGCGTCTCCATCGTCATAGTAATCAGGAGTGGAATTGATCGATCCTGTTGGGACTTGACTGGAAGCCAGTGAAGTGTTTGCCACGATTAAGAATACTGCATCATCGATGTCCATGGGATCCTCATCGTGACCTGTGTCAGAAGTAACAGTCGAAGGACTTTCAAGCATAGAATTTTGGGGTTGAATGCTAGCTGGGACGATTCCGACTCCAAGCCAGATATCCGGACTGTTTTGTTTGGGTTGCGGTGTGGGGAGACTCTCAGATGGTCCGTATTGGTGAATAACAGGCGCAGGAAAGAAGGCATCTGGGGCGCTGTTTCGTGAACTATTAGGACCCTCAGAAAATGATCTTGATCTAGGCTTGGGCTTTGTAGATTGTGACCGACAGAAACTCTCCCAATCCCCATATTGAGATACGTCAGGTGTGGAGAAACGACGGCTGGGGGTGTTGTCTCTGCTGATACTCACATCCTTAGATGTGGGTATTAAATGAGATCTCGAATCGCCATATGTTGGTTGTGCAGCTCTGCAGTTTTGAACCGGAGCTGTTGCGCCCTTTGGTCGACGGAGAGCCGATGGATTGTAAATATTACTTTTTCCCCCATGTTTAGAAGTGGAAGAAATCATGGTCATGTACAGACTCTTGGTGGGACGTGGTGTACGACCGCCAACTTTGGGTTGCGCGATGTTAGATGATGACTTTGGCTTTTGAGCCACGGCGTTGGAGGATTGTTTTGGGGTTGTCCGTGGCTCATAGAGGCGCTCTTTAGTACTGAGCAAGCCCGAAGGGCTGCTTTGATTTGCAAATACCAGCCTGTCCTTATTGAGAACTGGTAGCCCAATAGCTATTCTGAACCAATCGCTCACCAGATCCGTGTCTGTGAATTTCCGAAGCCCACTCATCAAGCTCAATGATGGCGAAAACACGTTTTGCAACCACAATTCATTGACAATCAACTGTAACCGACCAAGGTCAACTGCATACAGATCACAGCTTTTCTTCAGGAATTCTCTTCCGAACATCTCAAGCAGAGGCACACTTTCCAACCCCCAGCCGTAGTCATTTTGTTGTCTGCGTGTTAGATTGGAGAAAGGAGTGCGGAACATGAGGACTACCGAAAGACGTTCGAAGTGTTGAGCTGGGTTGGGATGCAGTGGCAATAGAGATCTGAGTTGTAGGATATCATCTCGTTTGGATGCTTCGAGTTGTTGAGGAGCTTCGATTTGTTTTGAAGCGAGGAGGTATGCAATATATTGCTCCCTTCTCTTGTCCCGTTCAAGAGTCTGTTCAATATCGTGTTCAATATTGCTAGTCCTACTAGCTTGCCCCCATTTTGCTATCCAACCGCGCAGGTCCATCTCGTTGCTGGGCATGTTCAAAAGAGTCGAAGTTGCAGTTGATGGAAGGTTTCGGGTTTTGTTTGAAGTTGTTCGTGGAGAATTTGTGAGTGTAAGTTGGTATCGAGAGTTGGGTCGATGAGGAAGCTTTGTGATTTGAAGGTAAGTTTTGACAAGAAGCCAATGAATGAGATAGCAAATTCTCGACAGCGGGGCAAGGCCTTAATATATTAAAAGAGGCCAGCGACGACAGGTACTAGTGTATGATTTGCTTATCAAATCCGCGCATATGTATGTGTTTACGGCGTTGGTACGGTAAGTTGCATATGTCAGCAAAGTATTTTCGGTTCAATATCTTTGCTGCAGTGAGGATCGTATCAACGACTTGTTGCCCCTTCTTCCTCTGAAGGGTGGCAGCGATAGCAGGCTTATATCAGTGTTCTCATAGAGTATCTTTGCTACGGCGAGAACCGTATCGACTTTGATGTTTTCCAAAGTCGCGAACCATATGCTTCTATCAGCAAAGTGTTATTGGTAAGATATCTTTGCTACGGTCAAGACCGTATCAGCTACTTGCCGTTTCTTATTTCGCTCAATATCGCGAACAATATCATGCTTATATCAGCACACCATTTTCAGTAGGATATTTTTGTTACGGCGAGGACCGTATCAATTATTCGATGTTTTCCCTTTCGCTCAACATTGTGAAAGTCAGCATGCTTATAAACAACCCAATATTTTACCGAGACGTCTTGTCTACAGTGAAGACCGTATTCACCCCTAGAAGTGACTTATGGTATTGATACGGTCGAGTAGATTCCAAATATGCCATCATACCCACGAAAGTGAATTTCCCGAAGTCTAGGCAACTACCTACTTCTAGCCCTAATATTCACCGTATGTAGATACTTCGGCTAATCCACTCCAGTTTGGCGAGAGAGAATAGGCATTCCGCACATCATCTCAAGAAAGTCTAAGCAGACTATAACATCAAGAAAATGAGAACCGTTTGTATAACTAAAGTAGATCAAAGACGACGTAGAATCTGCTCTGTAGTTATCAAGTACCATTATACCTGACGCTGTGTCAATATGAAGTATCATAAAAGTAGCAGCGAAAGTGTTTCAGGGCCCAGTTTACAACCATCGCTAATTTTATCGAGTCCAGAATCATGTGAAACGACCAAAGAATAAGCAAGTTTGTTATGCATTATGTTGATTATGATTGCGTAAAGCTTTGATTACAGAAACCGGGGGTTATATGATTGAAAGTCATAAAATCAAAGAAATGCTGGTGAGAGGGAGTGCGCGAAGCGAGTTGCGGGCTCTCCGAGTTTCAGGCTCCGTGCGATATTGTGTTCTATCTAGGAGTCAAGCCATGCGAAAATGAAGGCAATACTTATATGGATCTTTCTACGAGATCAGCACTCTCGCTAGACCACTACAGTACGTAGATAAACTTGTGACTTATGATAATTCACCATTATCCATAGGACAAAACAATCAAGTAGGGATCTAACAATCAAGAAGATCATAAATTGGTACGATATTCAACCCATCGCTATCTTTCCCATCTACTATGAAGTAGCTTCATCGGATATAAACACGAATCACACGATTGGATGTAAAAATACATTTTAGAATATTAAATCTAATACTACAATGCATTCCAGATCAAACCATCAGACAACACAATTCGAAAAAATTGATACTCATCCAACCCTTACACATGCATTCTATCTACAACCTCCTTCTTCCCCATTCCCTCTTCTCTGCAAGCACAATCTCTCAATCTAATTCATCTCCTTCCCCTTCCACACTCTCCCTATCTCTCACATCTCACATCTCACTATCTCTCACATCTCACATCTCACTATCTCTCACATCTCACTTCACCCACCCACCCTACACTCAACACCAACATCAACATCAACCCCTCACACTACCAACCCCCTTCCTAAAAAAAAACTTCCACTCGAACCCCCTAATCCACATTCACCCTCCCTCTACCCCCTCTCCAAATCTCACTCATATATCACCACCCTCCTCTCCCCTCCCTCCCATAAACAATCACCTACCAAAACACAACATCTCAACATCTTCACAAACGAAATCAAAGATTCCGTCTAGCATCAGTCATCCAACGATCCAATTTACAATCAAATCAATACCTCGAGATAAATTAAACTCAGATAGAACAACCACCATATACTTACCACGCCACAAAATTTCCTCAGATAACATCACATCACACATCGCACTTTCTCGCAACCTCTCTCAAAATCTTAAACCCCTAAAATTTGACATAATATGTAAATTGAAAACAGCCCCCAAAGTTCTACATACATACATGCATAAATACAAACAGCAAACGTCCACTAGTTAATCATTACCACAGGCATCATCAAAAAGAAGTCAAGGCCAGAATAAAGTTCTATCCTTGCTTCGTCCATTGCATGTCTCCATATCTCCAATCTAGCCAATATCAATCTAGCTAGGTAAATGCAGGTGAATACTAAACCAGTCCAAAAACCCAAACCATGCGGGGACATGCATGCCACTTAAGTTCAAACCAATCCATGATGTAGCCCCCAAACGCCTGGAAAAATATCAATTAACCCTCAAAGCTTCCCTTGGAAGTATGACACTCTCAAAATCCTACTTGCCCAATGAATTTATGCAACGCTATTATGCATTTAATTTATATACCCCAACTCCCGATACACCGTACAATGTGATAATTGATCAAGACTCGCTCTAGCTTATCAATCCATTAAGCCAATCTTGAAAGAACATGTCCTACCTCAACCATCAGATCAATACTCCGTTGATGGCACTTTTCGCTCCGCACATGAGAACAGATTTATGTGATTATCGCCTCTAGCAGCACAAGCTAACATCATACGATGCGGATGGAAAGCCGTAGCTGAAATGGGTGATTGACGAGCTTGATGTAAGAAGCTCGAGTATGGCTCCACTCTTGAGAGTTCTCTGCCATCGAAATTGAAAACCTTGACTGTATGATTTCCAGTGCCACTACAGATAAATTAGTATTCTTCAAGGAGAGAGAAGGAAGTAGACTTACACAGCAAATACTGGAAGATGTTCATGAGTGCTTGCAGTACGTAGAGTATCCTTTGTAGCCTGAATAACTCGTAGTGGTTTGTCCATTCGAATATCCCAAAGTTTAACTTTACCGTTGCGACTGGCGGAGAGAAGCTCTCTTTGACCACCTCGTTGCATATGCACACTCTTGATCCATACCCTGTCAGATTCATCTTTCCATTTCTTAACCATAGCTTCTTGTGGCTTGTTTCTAGCGTCAAATACTCGTATGGCTCCATCACCAAAACCTGCCACGAAAACATTACCTGTCATTTGATCAGAAGTCAAAGACGTGACACAAGAGCCGGAGCGAGCATTGATATCAACAACACAAAGCTCTGGCGCCGCAGCCCACACTCTGATCACCTTTACATCGCCGGCTACCAGGAGTTTTCCAGTAACTTGTTGCCAGTCAAATACCATACCAGAGTTGACGTTACTTGGGACAAGATGCGTCAAAGCCCTCCATGCCGAAGCAACCTCAATCTTTTTGTCGGAGTCATAATTCCTATAAATACGAATAACACCATCTGAAGACCCCGTCAACAAAAAGGCTTGATCGTCCTCATTGATAAATTGCAGATCACTAATCCTGGAACCTTCCGGATTACCATTTGAAAATCGACTTAGGCGGTCTTGCTTCTTCCAGTCCCAAACACAAATCGTGTCGCGATCATCAGACACGGCAAGATGATCTTCAAATTGATGGAGAGTCATTTTCGTCGGTTGGCTAGAGTTATTGAAAAATCCAGTAGCGTGCGTCCATTTGCCATTACCGGCAATTTCTTTCTGGGGTTGAGTATCGCGTAGAATTGCTTCATTCCTCGATCGTCTCCAAAGTCGTTCGTTATAATCAGTACTTCCAGGCTCCTCAGCTTCATTTGGTTTCATCTGGGGTTCGCGGAAGTATTCAATCGACCATTCTAGGAAAGTACTTTCCAATGGTATGGTACATGGTTCCGACAGGTTTCGAGGTTGAAAACCGCCTGATGTTGGCTCATTTGCTGCATGATATGTGCCTGGGGTCGATGCGATATCATTCTGCTCCGGTGGAGAGTTAAAGTCTGGCGGGAGACGTGATCGCGTTGGCAAAGAATTCCGATTTAGGCCAGGTGACTTCAAACCAGATCTTCCGGTTGAGTCAGGTGGTGTCACTTCGCCAGTAGAACCACCGAAAGGCAGGGTAAACAGGTAACTAGCTGTTCTTTTAAGTAAGCCTTGCTGACTCGACTGGGTGCTTGACAAGGTATCTTGTCGCGTTGGTGTACTGGGTCTTGTCTCAGACGTATGTGATTTTGCTGCCTTTGGTTTTGCTGAAATTCGACTTATGTCATCAAACAGTTTGCGGGCTGCGGCGCCAACTGGTGAGCGAAGGAGTGATATATGGAGAGCATCCACAATAATGGTTGCATTACGCTGAACTTCGGGATGTGGATCGATTGCCATTATTAGAACGTGTTTCCAAACCACAGCAAAAATGGAATTGTGAGACAAGCCCTGAGCTGTGGCTTTGATGGTACCATCCTTATTTCTGTTATCCATACGAGCATAGTGCAATCCCATTTTGTGGTCATTTCCATCGTCGAGAGGGGGGGATTGTCTATACTCTCGCTCCTCCTGTAGCTGTTCGAATGCCACTACCCAGAACTTACTCTCATATCGATGTATAAACTTAGAGAAATATACCAGCAGTTCTTTGCGGACCATGGCATTTCCATCATTTGCTAGTTCTATGACGGTCCACGATATTGACTCCTCATTTCGAGCAACCTCATCTGTCAGGTCGGGGATTCCCAGAAAAGTTGTCATGGCGTATAACATGGCAGCTCTGACTTCGCAGCATACATCGCGAACCAGACCGGATAATTTTGCAGGTGCATTCTCTCTGATACCCCGCCATTTCGCTTCAGGGAGATCATTCCAAAGCTGACTGATACATAGACACGCCCATTGTCGCAAAAGTGGGTTGTCTGCATTCTGCAAGTGTGTCAAACAGTAAGTCATGATATCTGTTTGGTTGCAGACATTTTGACCTTGCTTGTAACCATTGCAGAGCATGGCTAGAATAAACGCACACATAGCTTTGTGTTCAAGGCTATCCACTACTGGAAGACCTTCATTGGGTTTCAAAATACTTGAGAAGTAGTTGTAGCCACTATCTTTCAACAAATCTTGTTGACATGTGAGATCAACAGCGAGAACACGAGTCCAGATAAATACCATCACGGGTTTCAATTCTGCCGCGGCTGATTGTAACAATTTTAAAACGTATGGAAAGATACCTATGCTCAAAGCAAGGTTTACTGCCCAAGGACCCATGTCAAGAAACTTCCCTAACAGTATCAAAGCTCGTACTCGATGCTGCTGACTGAGGAGAACCTGGAGAACAACTGGGAGCTGGTCGGGAGCTTTGTGAGTTACAGCACCCTGCGTTAGATAAACCTCAAATGCTGTGAGTTGTTCCGTGAAGAAACTGGAGTTCTGGAATTCATAATCTGGAAGTTGCCCAGACTCCTTCATCTCCAGCGACGGCAATTGAGCCAAAGCCATTTCCACGGCCAAATCCCAACTTTCCCAAAGAGAATGTTGATGGGTGTCTGGAAGTTGTGGGTATGATTGTGGGTGGCATCCATAAGCTGACATGATTCTCTGCGCTAACAAAAAGTTTCTGAATAAAGCTGCGACCATCAAATCTTGTCTGAAAAACTTCCTAAACAAGGGCCTAGGGAGAGTGGTCCAAGCTATAGTATCCGTAATGGCTGTAAAGATCCAGTTCAGCTCTCCCAGAGGAGTGCGCCTTTCTTGCAGTCTACCAGGAAGTTTTTTGGCTCGCTCTGGTGAAACTTGTGATGGAAGAGGGTTTTGTAAAACAAAAAACCACAAGGCCATTTCAATAGGGGTAGTCAGGCATGCTGTGAAGACATCAGCAGGGAGCAGAGGATTTGTAGGTAGGTTCTCCTTAATTCCACATGCTGCCAGGTGAATGTAAGGCTTATAGTTTGTAACTACATAATTTGGATCTTTTTTCGAGTTTTCAAGCTCTTCTTGTTCATGCTTGTCCACAAAGCGATGAAAGTTATTCAAGATGTTGCCCGAATCTGAACAGTCCCAAACGAAGAACGTGGGTGCTTGTAGCCATGTTTGTAGATCGTACAATGAAACCGGAATGTACTGCGTGTAGTTCTTGTTAAAGACCCAAATCTCACCAGATGAAGTAGGCTTTGGAACACCATGACCATTGTAATGGAAGAGAACTCGTTCTTCTTTAGCATTCCGACGGAGTGATATGCAGAATTTCTTCGTCTCTTCAACGGATGGATCCAAATATTGCTTGTATCTTGTTCGAATGGCCAATGTCTCGTATTGGGCTTGTAAAGATTTTCCAATCGTCTCCAGAGCCTTTTGCACAGGAGGATGTGAAGGATCCTGCCAAGCCTCCAACTTTGCACCAGGTGTAGTCTTCAGTTGATCGGGTGGTTCGACTCCAATGTTTAGGCATATTGCTAATGCTGCAGATACGGTTTTTAGACGATCCTTCATCCGCCAATCCTGAAGCTCATATCCCAGTGATTTAGGGTTGCCCGTCGTCTCGTGTCGCTTATCCGTAAAGTACATATACCAGTTCTGTTGTACAATGTCAGTACTGGTTTCTAAGCCTACGTTCACATAGTTAACTCCAAGCGCCCAGCCCAATGAAGATTGGACGCGGTGATGTTGCGCTCGACGGGACGCTGAGCCGTTGTTTGAGACTGCAATCACATATTCGCGTTCCTCACAGAAATAGTCTGCCCCTTCCCAATCTTCGTTTGCTACGGGCGAGAAAAAATCGAAGCTTTCAACAAAAGAGTAACTTAAACTCCAAACATCAAATAATCATCCATGCCTCGGAGAGAAAAAGACGTTATGATATATATAAGATAAAAATTTGCTTAGGTCCAGGGGCTGTCGGGTTGAAATAGTGGCATATTCAAAGGTTTGGTAGACTGATGCCGGACCGAGATACCATCATTGAAGGAAAGAACAACTTACGTTTGCTAGTTGCGAAACATACTCTTCAGATGCATAATTAGTTCCAAACCCATGCCTTTCTCCCCAATCTTGTATATCTTCTTCCATATCTACATTTGCATCTTCACCTCTCGGACCATAATCACTCTTGGATCTTTGAAGTAGTGCAGCTGGTCTGCGCCGTATTTTATCTGGCTCCGAATCATCTTGTGATGATTCTGCAGTAGCCCCAGTCGAAGTTGTTGGCCGTGTGCTTGATCCATTCTGCGATGTACCATTGATGCGATCCAAGTTCGCCGGCGCATATGCAGATCCAGCTTCTACGCCATTGACAGGCTGTATTGGATCATTGCTAACAGTATGCCTCGAATTCATGGTTCCTAACGTGCCATTCATACCATTCATTGCCGGACTCGAATGTGGCAGTTGTTGTGAGTTCGGCACAGTGGCAAATATATGGTTTTGAGGTTGAGGTTGAGGTTGTTGACCTGAAGGTGAATTTAAATTTGGAGTGGGATTTGATCGGTGTAGATTGTGTTGTTGGCGGGGAGCTCCATGCTGAACGGCAACTGCTGTCATGATCTTAAATGGGAAAAATTACCATTCTTCAAACACTAATTGCTCATTGGATACTTGAAAGTCGAAAAATGAATAAATTGAGGCGGTCGAGAGGGCGGTCGAGGTTTCGGTAAGGCCTCGCGATGACTTGGTTGAAGGTCTTCTAGAAAGATAACCTGTATCTGTGAATCTAATAATGACCGTTAGGTGGGAATTTACATCAAAAGACAATCAGACGCGTGGATCAAGAGAACCAACAGTTCAATGACGATTACTAAATGACGTAACAATTGGTGAATTATATAATACCACGAGGTTGAAAGAACAATTTCGAGTGGAGGCAGAATTATATATATTCGAGTGAATCGAAACAAATATCTATGTACGGAGAGTACCTATGTACCTGTGAGTTGTGAAAGTAGCAGTATCTTTTATCACTATCATACCTTGAAATGAGATGTCACGAGCTGGGAATATTTGAATGCAATAGAATGACCGCCTTACAAATTGGACTTAGCACAACCGAGATCCCGCTCTACGTACCGACGCCACAATATAACGTGGCTGATGTGGATTTTTTAGCCAGCTCGTGGCTGACTAAGCATGTCCACGGGTACCTCGCTGGAGCTTGTCGTTGTGGCTCAAAATTGATAAGATGTCATAATGCAGGAGATGGTGATGCTAGGTAGGTATACAGAGATGGGGATGAGGTGTAGCCAGATTGAAAGAACCGCTGAATCTCAAATCATATATATATATATCTTGACTTACTGTTGAAATTTCCAAAGTTTATCAAGCAAACTCTCAACTTCACTTGACCCCCCCTTTCTTCCCTTCCCAATCCATCGGAAGATTGACCTGATACAATGTTGTACTGCATTCTCAATTTACTCAACTCTCCAGCTTTCCATTCCACTAAACTACTATCAATCGATACATCGATTCTGGTTGTGGATTTCGCATATTTCATGCACGATGCAAGTTATTGTGACCGGAAAATTTTAGGTGTGCAAAGGAGATCTGATTGTTACCTATCTATCACCCAGTGTTTCGGTTTACCAAGCAAGAAACATGAGAATCGTTGTACCATTCAGTACCTATATATTCATCGCCTTGTTCCAGAAAAGATCTTTATGTCCTTGGGGAATCACCCTCTACCATGGATTGCTAGAATTGTACGCAATATGTAGGTCATCTGTCAAACAATTTCAAAGGATTTTAGCCGCCAGAAGTCTGAACCCCCAAACATTACACCTCCAATCATATGTTACATATTCTGTTTCTTCTCCAAAGTGAGCATTAGACGAAGATAGAGGGATTTGATTTTCATGAGGATAGTGTAACCGTTGCCCCGGATCCTCCACAGCTTGAAAAGATCTCAAAATGGCACTGCACAGAGAAGCAGAAGCGTATGATGGTCAAAAAGTTTATTTATCGATCTCGTGGATACATCGCCACTGCATCGCCCAGATCTTTATCTCTTCTCATTTGTTGAATGAGGATGTAAGAAATATGACAGCATGCAGCCGGATGGTTCAAGATCAAACGCCCAGCCGTGATTGGGCCTATAGGAAAGCAAATGTATTTGACCGAACAAATCTTCTGTCTACCTATTGCAACAATGGAAACCGACGCACTGCTAATCCGGGATCATGAATAGATGATCGCCTTCGTATGAGATATCTGGTTGGCTGGATAAGTCGAATTGGAGGCATTGCTGCATACTAATCCAGCGGGTGCCGACATGTTTTGTAGCTACGATTCAACCCCTTCATCATGGACCCCCTTCAGAGATTCCATCAATTGTTCGAGAAGGATTAAATAGAATTCTAACGTATCTGGAGAAAAGATGACGAGTAAGTAAAAGGAAACATGAAAGATTTATCTCTATTTTCACGGTAGTCCAAATGCATAGGAAGCAGAAGCAAGGGCCTCAAATGTCGATACTTAATTTGATAGCCCTACCCATAAATTACTTGGGTATGAAATGAAACTTCCAACCGTCGATCGGATTGAGTAAGGTGCGCATGAATGAGAAGATGATGAGTGGAACAGAAATGAAGGGCAAATGGTCCAGAGTCAGGGGTACATGACAATGGCTGGACGTGAACGATGAAGTATTAGAAATCCTACATTGTACATCGCACATCGTACATCGTACATACATATCATAGAGAAGTGTGGGAAACGTTCAGCAGGAAAAGAAGAGAAAGACTTTACTAGGGACTAGGGACTAGGGACTAGGTATATATCGCAGAAAGGTACATACTTCGTACATAGATTAGCTTCGTACTCCGTACATATCCATATATGAATATGATACGGATGTACCGACGCGGAGGCTGCAGAACTTGGGAATGTTGACTCAGTCTCTTTTCCACCAATCTGATTCTCATCCTCTTCCTATAAGACAAGCCAAATTGATATGGCTCTAGGGAAGGGGGAAAAGGGTAATGTCAAGGGTAATCTCAACGTTAACCGTTTCCCCCTTTCCCATCTTTCTTACCACAACAGCTACTAGGCAGGTACATAATCACAATACACTTTCTTCCACGTCAATATTAAGCCTTTATTTGCACACCATTTGACGAATGTATTCATTGTCAGGGTATTGTCAGGATTGGATCTCAACCCCTGGTCCATCTCATTCCAAAATTGTGGTTCTTTGGTACCTGAAAGATAAAACAAGGCGTATTACCATGCTGTACGGAGGAGCAGGCAATTAGTTACAAGGCGGTCATATTTTATACTTTGGAGTTGGTGGTTCTGCTGGTTGAACTTGTATACTCCTAGGTAGCTGCAGGCACATATGAGATATTCTAGGTACTTCCGTCGAGGCAGGGCTTCCAAGATCAGGTCAGGTCAAGCGATAAAATTTACTTGGACGGAGTAGATACGAACAGGAGACTCAACTCAACTCACCTCACCTCAACCCAACTCACCATCGTCACTCACTCATACTCCCAATTGACCCTCCCTCAACAGAGTTTGTCTTGGAATAGAGAAACTATCACATCACATCACATCCTATCCCATCCTGTCCCATCTCGTCCCATCTCATCCCATCCCATTCATTCCATTCCATGCCATCATCATTCTCCCCATCTCCCCCATTTTCATCATCACCAAAATACTTTAATACTATTCGGAGCTTTTTCCTACCTCTTCTCTTTCTTCCCCATTAATACCGTTTTTGCGCTTCGAATCATCCAATACATTGTTCGATTGTTTACGATTCATATTCACATTCATATTGTTTACTTGATAGAAACTTTGAATTAAATCCCATAAAATAAAAATAACCACCAACACTCCCAAATCCCAGCCATTTCTAAACAGCAAGAACCCTGGACATTGGCTCAGACTTAATCCCTTTTCCTGAGACTTTCCAAACCAAGTTTAATAATAATCTCGAATTTCTCAAACATAAACAACAATCGTTTGTATTAAACGAATTCGCTGTCTCGTCGAAAAGAAAACATTTATCCACTTGCGCTGCCGGCATTGGGAAGAAGTGAAAGTGGTTGGCCTCGAATGGCACGATGGCATTCCTCTTCAAGAGCAAAAAGAATGCAGATAAGGCTCAAGCCTTGAGAGATGGCGGCAATGGGGCACCCGGTTCACAATCATCCCTCCAGAGCGAGAAAGGCCGTATGCCGCAACAAGCTGAGAGGACGACGACCCCTTCGAGTAGTGTCAATAATTCCATTACGTCGCTGCAAGGAGGCAATCCAGCGACGCCAAGTCCCGAACAATTAAACGGACGACGAGGACCAAACCCAGAGCAAGCGCAGGATCTCGCGGTAAGTGATTGACAATATTTTTCTGAATTTCGCAGATCGCAATTACTATATTGAGATTGGATCCAAATACTGATTGATGATGTCTGCGTATAGTTGCGAAACGGCGCGCCGCCGCCAACACAGTCAATGAATTCAAATCCTAATTCCTCATTATACCCATGGTCGCAGCGAAGAATAACATATACACTAATCATCCTCCTCCTTTTCCTCGATATGGCGCCGCTGTCAATTCCATGGCCTCGAAAGAGGGCGAGATATACCTTATGGGAGGTCTCATTAACAGCTCAACAGTAAAGGGTGATTTATGGATGGTAGAAGCGGGTGCAAATATGGCATGCTACCCATTGGGCACTACATCTGAAGGTCCAGGGCCAAGAGTCGGCCATGCGAGTTTATTGGTGGGAAATGCATTTATTGTGTATGGAGGAGATACCAAGATGGAGGATTCTGATGTTCTAGATGAAACTCTATACCTCTTGAATACTTGTAAGTCACCCCGGCCACATATGGGAAACATGCTAAGGAATTATTAGCTACGAGACAATGGTCGAGAGCTGTCCCAGCGGGACCGAGACCGGCCGGAAGATATGGGCACTCGCTGAACATTTTGGGCTCAAAAATCTATGTCTTTGGTGGTCAAGTGGAGGGTTATTTTATGAATGATCTGGTTGCATTTGACTTGAATCAATTGCAAATTCCGACAAATAGATGGGAAATGCTTATAAAGAATAGTGATGAAGGTGGACCTCCTGTCGGACAGATACCCCCAGCCAGGACAAACCATTCTGTGGTCACTTTCAATGAGAAGCTTTTCCTGTAAGTTTATAACAACGAAACAGCTGATAGCCTGAACGACTACTGATTCTTTTAGATTTGGAGGAACTAATGGCTTTCAATGGTTTAATGATGTTTGGTGCTACGATCCGATCACTAATGCATGGACTCAACTGGATTGTATTGGATATATTCCAGCTCCTCGAGAGGGCCATGCCGCTGCGATTGTCGACGATGTAATGTATATTTTCGGTGGACGAACTGAAGAAGGTGCAGATCTAGGCGATTTAGCAGCATTCAGAATCTCATCCAGGCGTTGGTATACCTTTCAGAATATGGGGCCGTCACCTTCCCCGCGTTCTGGACACAGTATGACGGCGTATGGCAAACAAATTATTGTTCTTGCTGGGGAACCAAGCACAGCAACTCGCGAAGCTCAAGATCTTGCAACCGTTTACGTCCTCGACACAAGCAAAATTCGATATCCCAATGATCAGCAATCATCCCAACAGTCTCAACAAGGTGTTATTAATGAACGCGTGCCTGGAGGTAGACGTCCAAGTGCAGGTGAGAAGAGTGGACTGGGACCCCGAAACATGGGCTCTAGGGAAAATTCCGCATTACCAGAGCCAAAGAAAAATAACGGCCCACCAAGAGAGGGCGCAAATAGTCGAAATGGGGGACAACCAAATGTGAACGGTAACGATTCCAACGGCGTCGCTCCTGGCTCAGCTCAACCTCAGGGCCCACAACCTGGTTCGAAACTACCTAGGGCGTCAATGGGACAGCCTGGTCCACCACCACAACAGCAAGTACCAAATCCTCGAGGTCCTAATGCTGGTCCGAATGGTAGAGGCCCCAGAGGTCCCCAGGGTCCACAAGGTCCACAGGGCTCACAGGGCTCACAGGGCTCTCAAGGTTCTCAAGGTCCTCAAGGTCCTCAAGGTCCTCAGAATGCTCAGAGTCCTCCAGCGCAAGGGAGACCCAATAATCAATTTGGTCCTGCTATCGATACCTCTATGCGAAACCCCAAATTGGAGAATATTCCTCTGGCGCAACGAGCACTCTCGCCTGCACAGGAAGAAAGTCCCCAGGCTCGAGAGAGTCCAATCACCAATGGCCCACGTCCTCCACTTCAAAGTGTTTCACAGCAAGAACATCAATTATTACATAACCAAATTCCTCCCCAGATGCAAGCTGGTGTTCCACCCCCATCACAACCACCATCACAACCACCGCCACAATCACAACCCCAACAAATTGCCAAATCCATAGCAAGGCAAGATTCTGATGCCAGGCAACCTCAGCAAACGCCAAAGTCAATTAGCAGGCAAGATTCTAACGCTCAGCAACCGAGTGGCACGAACTCGAGAGCCTCTTCGAAACAAAGACAGCCTCGTGGTCAAAGTTCAGTGGATAGTAATACAGATGTTTCTTTGAGAGATGTTATGAGTCGTCAAGTGTCGCCTCCCCCGCCTACAAGACAACCAAGTAATCCTCTTAGTCGAAGGACTTCGGCCAGAGGTTCTCAAACTGTGACGTTGCTAAAGGAGTTAGATGCTGCTAGAAATAGAAATGCCTGGTATGCTTCGGAACTCGAACTTGCACGGAAAGCCGGATATACGCCAAACCCTTCGACCAGTCCTATGCTAGATCAAAAAGCAGCAGAATCTTTCGATGACGATGACAAACCACTCATTGAAGCACTTTTGGCAATGAAAGCAGAACTAGCGAATGTCCAGGGCTCAATCGACAAACAAGCGGTTCTTGCAGCAAAACAAATTGCTGAGGTCGAAAAGCAACGAGATGCAGCCATCAATGAAGCGGTGTATCATAAAGCAAAACTTGCAGCTCACGCTGGAAGTCAAAGTAGCACGCCACAGCCCGACAGCGAGAATAGAGACATCGAAGCCATGACAAATGATCGATCTTCGGATATCAGTAGGAAATTGGCTGCCGCTCTGGCATCGCAACGAGATCTCAAGAACAAGGTGGATAGTCTTACCGCCGAGCTCGAAGCTGAAAAACGTGGAAGACAACTCGCCGAGGATACTGCCAATATCACACAATCACGAATGGCTGA